GAATCAAAGGGATCCAATGGGAAAAAGTCCAAAGAACAATTCAGATAGAGTTAGCGTAGGCACGACTCAAGATATTGTAGTCACTTGTGTCAAATAAGAAAGGCTACATAAATGTGAATGTTTGATGGGCTCTAACATTTGTTATTGGTGTTGTCAATCTGGTCATATAGTAAGATGTTGTCCATCTCTAGGCCAAAAAAAATGCTGAAGATCCGAAATCAGGTGAAGCTCATTCACAGGAGGCTGTAGGTGGGCAGCAAAAGATAGAGTCTATAACTTTAACTCCTACCCAAGGTCAACCAAGCTCACATGTTAGGCATGTTCGTATATTCCCTTACTCATAGTGAGCCTGAAGAACCTACAGTTGTTGATGGTGATGTGGTCTAATGAGTTTGGCATTTTCTTATATATAAGAGTATTTTCCTAGTAAACTTTCTTGCTTCAGTATTTTTATCCGAAGTATAGTTGAGTCATCTTGTATCGGGTCTTTACCTTATAGGCTTCATTTAGGTGAAAACTTTTCCATTTATAAAATTTCGTTTTAAAGCAACCTAAAAAAATAACAGTATAAAATTAAAGTTCTTAAAGTTATACTATCGTTTGAATAATAAATATTTTTTTTTTACTTTCTTACACCGAAGCCAACTCCCTCCAATCTTTCACCTCACTCCTCTCCTCTCTCGATGCTTACCTTGAAGACACCTTCTCTGTCGCCAATAACCTAGTCGTTGCGCTCTGTTCGCTTTCGACAACGATCATTTCACTACCAATAATGTTAAGAAACCAGATTTCAGACCGAAACAAGCTAGAGAGCAAGGGAGAAGCAAGCAACAGCTTCGAGCTTCATCGTTGGAACATTAATGGCTACTACAGGCAAGCTCGACGCTTCCAAGAAAAGGATGTGAGAGTTTCATGGCTAAGGGAGGTTTGAAACCGAAGATATCTAAGCAAACAAAAAGGAAAGAGACGAAAAATTTTAAGAAAAAGGGTTAAAGCGAGAGCTTTGAAGAATCAGAACTACGAAGCCTAACCAAATTTTTAAACTTGGGTCTGCACCGGAAGAAATTATGGATTCCGTAGGTGATCTTGATAGTTTGAAGAAAAGGAAGCGGGATCCCGCCAACGATCACTCCACTTGATATCTGGTGTTCAGAAGTGGTCAGGAAATGCAGTTGTGGTCGACACACCTTACGCTGATTGGAATTTACCAAACAAGCATTTCATGTTTTGTTTTCGTTCTCTACAAAGGAATGGCTCCCTCCTCGTTCTCAAATGGGCCCATAGTGATTAGTTTTCATCTTAATAAATGACTCCTAGCTATCTTCATGAAATTTATGGATAGCTAATGTTGATCTGCTTAATGAGAAATGATTTGAGGTATGTTTAGAAATTTTTAGGATGAAATTTTTGTTAAGTGGGGAAGATTCTGAAGTCCAGTTTCAGTTAATCGGGGGAGAGAAAACTGAAGCAGAAGTGAAGAGTTGGCTAGTCAAAGGATGGAGAGCAATCGAACAGTTGGGAAGCCGAAGAGGGGGAGGTGAAGCGAGTGTTTCATGAAGCCAAAGAGATATTTCATGCATCTTTTTGGCCGTAGATGCGAGTTAACTTATCTGGAAGTTGATCGACGCGGGAGACATGGAGCCTAAGTTAGGCTTTTCGCCCAGCTAACGATGAGGAAGCTTGCAGAATTATCGGTGTCGAGCTTCAGAGGGTTCGATGCAAAGCAGAAGCTATAAGGATTGAAGCCGAGCATTGCACATAGAGAAGAGGCAGGAGGTCTCGATGTTGGTGTCGAGCAGCTGAGGAGTCGACATTGCAGCGACTCTATTGAGGAGCTCTTGTGCGATCTAGATTCGCTCGCAGACAGGATCGTGTGGAAAAAAGTCCTCGTGCGATCTTGAAGGAAGACAAGTTGGGTATTGCACGTCGAGAAGAAAGAAGCGTGCGATCTTGAAGGAAGACAAGTTGGGTATTGCACCTCGAGAAGAAAGAAGCTTGCGTTGAGGAATATGATTCTTGAAGAGGATAAAAGTAATTTAAATATTAAACTTAAGTGCATTTGATTCAAGCCCTAAAGAAATTATTAGGGTCTTAATGCTTAGAAGTATTTTTGTATAAATTAATAATATTTAATATTAATTTTGATTACAATAATTAAACATAAAGTTTAAATTATTAAAATTCTAATTAAAGTAGTGCAATACAACGGTAATTCATAATTCAATTAAAACACATTTAAGTAAAAGAATAATTGTATATTTTATATTTTATAGGTTATAATTTGATAGAATTAATACAAGTTAAGAGCAAGTTGATTGTTTATCACCGGGATGAGTACTCATACCTTTAATATATGGTAATATTTTGGTTCTTCTCCACTATTTTGCATTAGTAGATAATGATACTTGTACAAGTTTTATTTTGATTTATATGCTCTTTCATTTATTTGTCACATTTTTATGAATGTATGTAACTACTTACTATCACACATTGGTGTATGCTACATATAGAATATTGAATTGAATGTGATGAGCACGTGAATTATATGTTTATATTGATTACTTGTATATGCATATCTGATTAGGATGATGTCACTCTTTTATGGTACTATCAGGAAAATGTTAATATATCAGTCCACGTAAATGGAAAAGAATATTGATATTAAAGTACCTTGTGCTATAATTTTGAGATGGTGCTTTTGTAACGGTTATACATATATAGAATGATATAAACATGATATTTATATAGTAAGATTCATTGAATAACATCAAATGTTTGTATTGATTGATTAAATGCTTAATTAACATTTATATTGATCTTCATTTCCCTTGTATTACTGTAGTTTAGGAGTATAAATATTCACTGGTTTTGTTCAAATTTACTGTTATTTTAAATTAATTTTTCAGGTTTAATTAAGAGATTAAAAGATGAGTCATAAAAGTGAAAATATTTATAGAAGACGTGAACATCCAACAACGAGGTAAATTTAAATATAATCGTTTAATTTAATTTAATTAGTGCTTTTTTATTTGTTAAAATGTAAATGAATATAGAAAACTTTGTTCTCACTATTCGATCGTCTGTACCTTCCTTGGTTAATTCCAAGTTTCGGGTCGGGTCGGGTCGTGGCACCTCGTTTTGATGTCATGCCTATTTCCTCTTAGCTGGCGCCATTGCTGTTCTTTGTTGCTATTCTCCTCTTTTCAGCCACCTCCCTCCCGCAATCCCTGGTATCCTCCTTCTGAATCAGCTGCCAGCTCCCCCTTTTGCTGTTTCAGGCAACCCATAACTTTCCAGCCGCTTCGCTGACCTCACTGTCCCAGTCCTCCACCTTCCTTGTCGCCAATCGCAACACCTTTGTTTTGCCATTTTGTTGTTGTTCCAGCCTCCCACCAGCCCTACCACACCTCATCCACCTTCCAGAAGCCTTACCTTCTGAATTCGTCACTGTTTAACACTCCATCCTTCCCATTCCAGCCCGCCTAGCCAACATCCAACACCCTTGGGATACACTTTAGCTGTGTTTCTTTGTGTTTGTTGCAGTATTTTTTCTTTCAAATGTGTTGGTTGGAATTGTCTATTTGCTTTCAATAATAATATTTGCTTTTTCTATTGTGTTTTGAGTTAACTCCAGTATCACCTTAGCTTTCATATTTACACTCATATCACTCAAATCTTTAATATCACATCAAAAATATTACTAATACTACCTTTTAAAAGTGAAATCCACATTTTCATGCATAGGTTTAAAACACCAAAGTGCTATGTATAAATATGGAAGTTCGAAATGAGATATGTAAATGCATTAGAATTGTGTGCTATGTATGGAAATTTCCCTTTTTATTATCTAATGCTTTACAAGTTTAGAAGTGATCTGAAATATGCTTTCTACAATTCGGTTGGATCGGGTCTAAACAGGCTAGTAATATTGTGTATTACTGGAAGCAAAGACATTGTTATTTCAAATATTTCGGTTGACATGTAATTGTCCTACTTGTTGCGTACTAGATTGCAGAACAGAGAGAGATGAAGGGCATTGCTGTTGGCGATCACACTTCATTGTTGTTATTGGTTGTTAATTCGAGGTTGTCTGAGAGAAACAAAAGGGTGGAGGATTAAGCAAGATTTATGGAGGAGAGTGAAGTATTTTTCTAGCTAGAGGGGAGAACTTGATAGTGATACATCTAATATTTTTTATTAAAGTTCAAGAATAATAAGATGAGAATGGGATTTATAGCAGATGAGGGGAGAGATGTTGTAATTAAAGGTTTAAATCAAAGATCGGAAGAATAGTTTTAAATTTATGCATGAATATATTGATTCGGGATTTCATATGATAGACTTGCTATATAATCTATCATGTAAAATTTAGGTTTCATTTAGTAGAAAGATTGGTCCAATCATACATCCCAATTGACTGATGAGGTTAAAATTAAATATGTGGACATACTTATGTTGATATGAAAGTTATTCGATAATTATAAATTAATAAACATACTTGTAGGTTTTTGGGAACTCATTCTCTACTTATTACACTGTAATTATTAATTGTTTCTCACATTTCCTGAGAATAATTTTGTCCGGGTTTTTTTACTTCTTCACGAAGAAATACTTTATAGGATTTACATACATACTACCCAATTCTTATGTATTTACATATCTAAGACCCAAAGTTTAATTTTTTTCTTTATACCACCCAACCTATGCATGAAAAGGTGAATTTCACCTTTTAAAAGTTAAAATAGTGGTATTTTTTATTCGTTAGGAAAAATATGGGTGGCAGAAATGTAAAAGTAAAGTTTAGGTGTTAGATATGTAATTTCATAGGAATTGGGTAGTATGTCTGTAAATACCCCTATTGTGCAATGCCTGCCACTCGGACGTACACTCCTAATTATGCTGATTAAGTGTTTGTTATTTAGTTAAAATATACCAAATTTTCTTGTATCTTTTTGCCAATGTTACTTCTTATTTCAGTTCTCTTGATCTGACTTCTGTAGGTGGGTATATCATCACTATTGTGCCATGTTGATGGCTCTTGTTAGTCTCACTTGGGAGATAAAAGGGAATCCTAACTGTGCCAATAAGCAGGTCATTACTGGCTTAATTTTTTTGCTATTTTATAGATGATAAAAGATGTAACTTTTCAAGCTTTTACAGAAAGGGGTGCAACTATTTTTGGTATGGGCTATCATGCAAGGTTTTGCCATGCTCCTTCAAAATAGATATCAACGTCAACGATTATATACTCGCATAGCTTTGGGAAAGGTGATTCCATGGGATTACATCACATTTGTTACTTGTTTCTTAGTTTGCTTATTATTTATTTGGAAGGTTTACATACATACCACTCAATTCTTATGTATTTACATATCTAACATGTAAACTTCAGTTTTAACGTACATACCCCCTTACCTATGCATAAAAAGATGTATTTCACGTTTTAAAAGTTAAAATGGTGGTTAATTTTTATGTGATATGAAAGATTGGGTGATATAAATATAAAAAGTTATGCTTAGGTGTTAGATATGTAAATATATATAAATTGGGTGGTATGTGTGTAAATGCCCTTATTTATTTTTTTTATGAATTTGATACGAGCCAAGATGATTTTTCCACAAAAAATATGACAAATAAATATTTTATTTCATTAAAACAAAACAACACAACCTACAATTCCCTAGGTAGGCGATCACTCCCACCACCTACAATTCGATTGGCAGACAATTCCTCCAAAGCTTAAACCTAAGACTCAAAACCATAATCTCATACATAACCCTAATCTTAAACATATTAGCCCTATTTATATCTCACAATAATAAATAGTAAAAGAGTAAATTGCCCTTAGAATAATAGAAGACTAAATTGCTCTTAAGCTCTGGCATAACAATACTCCCCTCCCAAAGAAGGGGGGGGGGGGGGGGGGGGGGGGGGGGGGGAATTTGCTGCTGGATCAAGTCGTATGACTCCCCACATGACGTCATCATTTGAAAATCTTTTCCATTTAATTAGAATTTTATAATGTCCCTCATGTGTTTGAAATGTTGTCTTGTGCATAACCTTTGGCCCCATCCAAATATGTTGGTACTCTGACTTCAAATCAATCTTGGAGGATACTGCTGCCCCAAACAACTCATCCAGTTGCTCATCGATCATTAGAATCTCTGTCAACTTCTTATCATGTGTATCTTCCATGCTATGCAATTTGATCAAGAATCTCAACCCCGCATCCTTGAATTGCTCTCGCCATAGCCTTGAGCGTCACTAAAGTCTTGCATAAGCCGAGTTTATCATAAAGCACCACCATATGGTCATTCTCCTAAATATTTTGTTGTGTTTAAATCATTCTCTTATAAACTTCTTTTCTCTTCTTCACTTATCTCGTTCTCATTACTCTTGAATCGCCTTCTGCTGGAAGGTTGTTGTAGCAAAAGACACTGGTGTGGTTTAATGCAACCCTTTTCCGGTGACCCACCCACTACAGTTTTTTGTTCCCAGCCGAAATCCTTCAAATTGATCTTCTTCAGCCTCGAATTGCATGTCATCTCGTTTTGCTTGTTATCGCTCATTCCAAACCTCTAGATGATATGCAATTCTCTCCAGATAATGTAGCTCGAATTTGCTCCCGACTCCTTCGCTTGTTCCTGCCTGCTTCTTTTCTTTCAATCCTTCTGAATGTCGTGTTATTTCTTCCAAGTGTTGTTGCTCGCACCCATACTCGACACTATCACTGAATCCTGCAACAGGCAATTTTGTGTGAAATTTTTTTATCTTCTTCTTCATTTCTTCTACTACGGTGGTCCTCCCCTCCGTGGACGAGAAACCCTTTTACATCGTGATCTTGCCTTTTGCTTCCTTACTAGCTTGAATCCCAACAGGAATATCACAACTCCATTGTCGCTTCCCAACTCATGAGAGGCTCGGTCACAAGGGCATGCCCGATCTAGTCGATGATTTCTTGGATCTCAGATCATGAGTGTATCGCGTCTGGCACGCCGCAATCCTGCTATTGTATGACGAATGCAATTCGCTTCTTAGCTAGCTCTCTGCATCGCGATATCGTTGTCTTAGCAAAGCTCTTATGATGATTGTATCGCTCATGTGTTGTTCCTTATGCAACGATCCCATTGTTTCTTCCCGGATGTGTGCGAATCACAATTGTATTCTGAGATTCAGTCACAAAGGCGGTGCATACTGCAGGCCCTCTATGCTATGATCCCTTTGTTGACCTCTCAGCTCTTCCGGATCACGATTCTTTCGTGAGGCTCAGTAATAACAGCGACACATGTATTATGCCATCCCTTCGACAACCCAACTTGCTTGAATCGCAATTGTTTCGCAAGGTTAGGTCACGAAGGCGTCGCTTGTATGTTGCGATCTAGTCGGCCTCACAACTGGCTCGAATTGTGGATTATGTGGAAACGTCATGATCCTGTTGAAAAAATATTACATACGGAGTCCGGATGTTGATCTACATTCGGACTCCAATGACATCGTGACAGATGACATATATAAATTTGGTCACATATTTCGTAAGTTTAACATTTTCTTTTGTAAATACGAAGCTATAACTGGGTAAATCGGAGAACAAAAATATTTTTTTCCATGAAAAGTAAAATGCAGCGATCTCTAATTGTTGAAAGCAATGTGTGGTGTTTTTTTTAAGCAATTTGTTATGCGAGATGACTTGAATCTAGTCAAATATGCCTTGAAAACATCCAGTACAAGTAGGGTACAATCAGGGTACAAAAATATTATTCCAAAAAAACATAATGTAATGCTTTATAATTGTTGGAAACAATGTGTACTCCTGTTTTAAGCAATTTTTGTTCTCTGAGGTGACCTGATTCCAATCAAATATACCTTGAATACCTCAGGGTACAAGCAGGGTAAAAGTAAGGTACAAAAAAATGTACACAAATCTTGCAGGTTCCACTTAAAACAACACCACAGATTGCTTCAACAATTACAGAGCACTAAATTTTGTTTTTCATGGAAAAAATATTTTTGTACTCTGCTCCGGGTCGGGCTCCACATTTATAGAAGAAAATATTAAACTTGCGCTTTAAATGTGGTCCCGATTTTTATGTACCAAGCTTCACGAAGTCGTTGGAGTCCGGATGTAGATCTACATTTGGACTACGGATGTAATATTTTTTCGATCTTGTCGGCTTTTCCACTAGTGTTCTCGTCGATGGCTTCCCTTTTCACTCTTTCCCGCGACTATATTAAGATTCCGTCTTCGGCTAACACCATTGTATCGTGACGTCGCAATCCTATCTCTTGTTTCCCAGAGATCAGTTGATCTAATACAAATTGATACGAACCAAGATTATGTTTTCACAAAAATTAGGGCAAACAAATATTTTATTTCATCAAAATAAAACAGCACAATCCGAATATATAAAGATAAACACCTACAATTCAAGAGGTAGGTGATCTCTTCCAAACCATAATCCCACGGCTCAAGTCGACAATTTAATGCATAACCCTAACCCTAAACCTATTAGCCACCCGACAATAATAAACAATAAAAGACTAAGTTGTCCTTAGACTAATACAATACTAAATTGTTCGTTGACTAATTAAAGATTAATTGCCCTTAAACACCGTCATAACATAATTATGCAGTATGATGAGTTTGCATTTTGCATGATATGAATTGGGGTTGGGGCAGGTGATCATGAGAACATTTACTTAATCTATCGACGTGAGACATTCATAGTTGCCAAGTATGCTCCCCCTCAAAAGCTAAAATTAGCTTGGACTATGATTATGATTCTTTTTTCATGTTCTCAGGGCCAATAAACCATTACAATAGCAATCACTGTGGATAAGAGGATCATAAACCTTTATTTATTATGATTACACTATTTATGATCCAAAAGAATTTATTTAAATAGTCGTGATAATTTTTATGAATATCATAGAAACATGTTATCATTATGATTATTGAAAAGATTTTGCAATCCATAATAATATCACAATAAAATATTCTGTATTAGATCAAACTCTACTCTAATGACTCCTCACCCTTGTTTGCCAAATACACATATATGCATAAAGAGGCAATCAATAAACCAATAACCGGTCACTTGAAATTTATCATTGAAGTCAACACTAAATGTGATGTTGTGTAACGAGTAGAACGTTGAAAGCATTTCTGACATTGAATACTCTAGTTCCTTGAAAGCACTTAGTCAAAATATTAGTATCTACTTAAGAAAGTATGAAATTTTCTTAATCTCAATAAGTATAAATTGTATTCATTACCCATCATATAAGGATTTTGCTATGTTTTGGAAATAGGTTTATGTAGTTTTGCTAACTAGGTAACATAGTTTCATGAAGTTGGTCTCATATTGATCGAATATGGGAACTTTGAGTGATCTCATAAAGGCAGAGGAAAATGAATTACAACTTGTTTGGGATTTTAGATTTTATGGTAAATATTTTGCTAAGGTTGAATCAGTTAAAGGGGTTGTATGGTAACAGCTTTAGCAATTTTAATAAATCATGTAAATCCGGATTTGCTAAATTCTGCCTACACCAAAAGTTAGTAAATTCGGCCAAGAAGGATTTAGCAAAATCGGTTAACACTAGGAGTTAGTAAATCCTGGATTTAAGGCAAAACTGAGAAGAAATTTAAATGCAACTAGATTTATTGAATCCAGTATTTAAATGTTGACATTTTTCTATCTACAAGATTTAAGTTAAATTCGAGTTAAATCTTTTATCAATCAACCCCTAAAGCTGTATCTTTTGAATATATTTTGAATAATATGATGGGTTAAAAATATATTTAAAATAATTTTGAATATATAGTATATTTAAATTTTCCTGAAAATACTATTTCATTTTAAGGGCATTATTCATCCAGTTGTGCACATGTGGTTAAAAATCTAGTTCTTGTATATATGAAAATACTACTATTGTATTGTTTAAAGAGCATTTCATATATGTGCATTAATTTTCATGATTTCTCTTTTTAGATAAGTGCATTCGTATTTGCACTAAGTATATGAACCATTAGGATTTTTTAATGCATTATTGTGATCATCTAAACGAGCTCATCAATTGAGTAGCCTCATTGGTTCAACAATTTTTTTGTTTTTTTTTTTATGATGATCATGATGACTTTTTGTTGAAGAACAGAATTTGGAGGGTAAGATGATAGTTACCCTACTAAAATATTGCACATAAAATTTGGAAGTATTTTTTGCAATATAGGAAAAGTTGCATAAAATGAAAACATTGTATGACCATGTCATCTAAAGTATCACTGTGGTTATCATAGTTCATAATTTAGTAAGTAAACTACACTCTACTCATCCTTTATCGATCATAAAAAAATCAAGGCCGAGCAACACAATTGATGGCTAACATAAGCAAACTAACATAAGTCCAAGAAAAGGTTACTTGAAACCTTAACATTCATAAAATGTCCAAAAGCCTGGAAGATTGGAGAGTCACTCCTGTTATCATCAATTTATCTTATCCTCTTCATCGTCATCAAAGTATTAGGGGATTCTCCTTGCCAAACCAATGTTGATCAGGACGTAATTGATGCATTGATCATTTTTTATTTCAATTGTTCGATTGAATCATCAATCCTGCTAGATGTAAATGAATGAGAGCAAGAAGATTACGGAGCCTAATGAGTCCAAGGAGTATGTATTTTTCCCACTTAAACATTACAAGCCAATCGTAGTGAAGCATTGAGGAAAGTTAACAATTGGAATACATGAGAGATCATGGCCTGATTTGTTTGGCACCAGTTTGAATTTAATGATGTGACTCAAATTAAGGTTGTGTGGTCGTTGGACGTACAAATGCCTGTCAAACAAGTTTGTGGAATTCCGTAAATTTGATCCCATATGGCATGATCTTGGGCACCTAGTTGAGTTCTGCAAAGGAGTTAGCTGGTTACCACAAAGACTAGGGAAAATGATTAAGGATTTTCTTAGGGATTGTTTGGATCACTGTTGCTTTCTGTTTTTTGTTTTGTTTTGTTTTTTTTTTTTAATTACTTTGAGAACATGTATGTTTAGTGTATTGTTTTCATTTTTTTGCTTTTTTTTTTCAAAAGCAAATTAGCTTGTTTTTAAAAACACTCAAAACATCTACAAATTTTTTTTAGTTATTTAAAAACAACTAACCATGTTATAACATACCAAACATGTTTTAAATTTGAGTAAAAACATTAACAAAGTAAAACAAAAACAAAAAATAAAAATCAAAAACCAAATTTGATCCCAAACAGCCCGTTGGGATTTTGGAGTTTTATCAAAATAATATACTAACATCAAGTAAGCATAACTATAGTATAGTATGAAAATTGCTTTCTTATAGTTATTTAAAATACTTTCACATTTATAATATATTTATATTTTTATGAAATATTGTTTTCCATTTTGAAGCTTGGTTCACTCACACTTGAACATGCGCTGTTAAAACTTGATCTTAGTTCTGTATATTTGAAAAAAGTTACAAATATACTATCATGAAGAGCACTTGTACTTATATTAAGCGCCTACAACTCATTTAACCCTTTTAATGAATGCTTATAATCATCACATGTTAGCTCATCGGCTTAGTGGGCTTATGTGAACAGTTACCCAAAACCAATCACCCAATTGCTACAATTCTTTTGGGCCATTTGACTTCTCAAAACAAGAAACTAACTTTCTTAAAGCACTTGTTTCTATAGTCTGCTCATTGGTTTTTAAAAATAAATTAACTTTTGAGAAAATTCCAAAATGGTATCCTAACTCTTTGTAGGGTTTAATTTTAGTCAAAAAATCTATAAAAATATTAATGTAGTTCCCATACTAATTTAATGGGGCCTAAAATAGTCCTGTGGATTATTTTAGCCAATATTAAAAGAATCCGAAGGCTAATTTAACATTTTTATAGATTTTAGGACTAAAGTAATCTCATGTAAATGGTCACAGGACTATTTTGGCACTTTACTAAACTTATTTTGCTCAACAGTTTTTCTTAAATCATATTCCAATTTAAACAGCAATTTTATCACTAAACTAAATTACCAAAGGCAGCCTATTATTTTTATTGCGGCATTAGCTTTCTAATTTAGGCTGCAAGGAAGTTTTTATTTTATATCTAACCTACCATATGATTGAACTGTAAAATTCAGTTTTGATTCAAAAAATTTTTTTTGGGCATTTACATATGCACCTCACAATTCTTATTTATTTACATATCTAACTTCTAAAATTCTATATTCACATAAATAATACTCAAATCTTTAATACCACATCAAAATTGTTACTTCTACCAACTTTTTAAAAATAAAATACACATTTTCATGCTTAAGTTTATGCCACCAAAGTTTTATAATGTAAATATCAAACTTTATTTGTTAGATATGTAAATAGTAAATACATAAGAATTGTGTGGTATGTATGTAATTTTGCTTTTTTTCTTGCTTACTCGGAACTTCAAATTATAATTTTGTTATGGGAATGATGAATATATTCCTTAATCGGTGAAGGACTTTGTCTTGTCATTCCAGGCAAAGAGAATGGATGTAGTCTGGGGAGAAACTGCTGGTGTTGAAGGTCAATTGTGGCTTTTATACCCTATACTCTTCATCTTGCAGGTGAGGAAAGCACATAATTTTAGTGTTTTTGTGCACTAACAGCCAAACTATTTTGGGGCTCTTGGGCAGTATCTATAGTATCTATTATTTTCAGTTTTTTTTTTAATTGGAAAATTTACATACATACCTCTCAATTCCTATGTTTTGCATATCTAACACCTAAACTTCAATTTTTACATATATGCCATCTAACATATACATGAAAAGGTTGGGTGGTATAATAAACAGTTAAGTTTAGGTGCTTGATATGCAAAGACATAGGAATTGGGTGGCATGTATGTAAATGCCCCTTTTTAATTTAGTTGGTTTTTGTTTTGAAGAAAAAGAAATAAGAAGGTAATATTTTGAAGATTTATAATACCCTAAATCTTCTGTTTTCCACGAATTTGAAAACAATAAATTTGAGCAATTTCCAAATCTGTGTTACCCTGTTCACAATTTTCACTACTCTGATACGATCGAACCTCCAAATCCACACATTTTTCTATAGAAATTTGGGCAAGCGTAAGATTTCTTCAATAATTCAAACTCAACAAAAATACAATTAGAAACACCTACAATTTGAGAGGTAGGTGATCTCTCACAATTCCTACAATTCGAGAGGTAGGAAATCTCTCCTAAACCCTAGACCTAAGACTCCCAACTCAATCTCATGCCTCCTCTTAACCCTAGACATAACAAGCATATTTATACCCAATAACTATAATTATAAATTTTTATAAATTGCCCTTAGGCACCAACGAGGTGGGAAAAAGTTATTGTTCCCCTCCACCACAGTTCTCTATTTCTTCATCCTCTACATCATCATCATGCACTATGAGAACTTGTAATTTTTTATCCTTGCAAGGGTGTCCTGGTAAACATCTCATCACATCGAAAACATAATATCTTGGTTCACTTCTCCATAATCTTTATCTCTGTAAGGCTCTTCAATGTCGTTTATGGTCGTGACCCATTATTCTTGTCCCCTGCGGCCTTCGTGTGGCCTTCTATTGTTTGAGCTTTTGGTATCGTCATGGTTGTAGCCTTTCGATACGACGCTTCAGCTAGCCCGATTGGCTTGGAAACATTTCAATGAACAATCCTTAAAATTCATTTCAAGAATAAATCGCGTATCTAGCCTCCCTCCACTGAAACCAGGCTAGGGCTTTTCCTCTAAACACAATCTTGCCGCCATGAGCTTCTCTTCCCCATCTAACCCATTCACACTGAATTATTGCTCCACCCGATACACCAACCCATGTGCGTATTTCCCCTCAAAGATTGACATCTTCAACTTCCTAACCCTAGAATCTCCACCCCTTCCTCTCCCTCCGTTGTTCCCCCCATGTATCAAGGGTAAAACTCTCTCCTTTGATCATAACCATATCGCCTCCTTGCTTTTTTCCTTTCTTTTCATGCTCATCCATACCTCTTGCATAATCTCTTCTTCGTGTTTCAGCCCAACCGCCTCCCTCGTAAATCTCTAATCCACCTTCCATCGGAGCCTTGAGAGGGGGTTCATGATAGTGATGTTTTTCTCTTCATGTTCCTCACATTCAATCTCTTTTTAGATTTTGCAAATTGAGCTGCTGGTAGAATCTTGGATTGTATCTCAATGAGCCTCTTTATCATCTCTCAAATTTTTCCCATGCTTTCGATTTGGCCCTCCATTTGGTTTTCCATGAAATAAAACCTATTTTTTATGGTGTCGAACTTTTCTTTCTTCCCACATCTATTTTAACTCATTTCTTCCTCTAATTTCTTCTCAAAATCACTTACTTTTTTGCTGCCACTTTTCCCAAAAAAATCTTCGATCACAAAAGACGAAACCCTCTATACGTTGAATTGTCGTCGATGATTTTCAAATAGTTTAATTCATGTTTGTATCGCGAGATACGATGAGATAGTAAACCTTCGTCGATTCGGTTTGATTTGAGACCGACACCCTATTTGGAATTGAAAAATTATGGGAGTTTCGGGTCTCTGTAAGTCATAATCCCCATGCGGCCTTCTCAACTAGCTTTGATCACAACTGCACTGTAAGTCAAGTGCCCTCGATCATGTCAATCCAAGCTCTGATCGTGAGTGTATTGGAGGGTTCAGTCATGAAGGCAACATGCCCTCCAGTCACGTCTCCCAACAAGCTCTGATCGGTACTTTATCGCAGGGTTTGATCATGAAGCATGGTGCTTAACCTGAAACTCGCATATTCCCGCTCCATCCAGAAACAAAGACACGAACTCTAGTTTTTGAATGTTGCGATCACGTTTATCCGAGAGAGATCGGGTCTCTGTACGCCGATTCGTCCTCACTTGGTGCGCGAACAATAGAGCAAATCGGATCGAGGATTATGTAAGCTGAAATCGTCGCCTAGAAAATCGTAGTTTGTTTTAGCTTTCGATCCTCTGATTCGATTCCCAAAATCTTGATGCTCTGATACCAGTTTGATATGATCCGACCTCCAAATGCGCACATTATCTCATAAATTAGGGCAAACATAATATTTCTTCAATAATTCAAACAAATCAACAAGAATACAAAGAGAAACACCTACAATTCGAGAGGTAGGTGATCTCTCCTAATTCCTACAATTCGAGAGATAGGAAATCTCTCCCAAACCCTAAACCTAAGACTCCCAACTTAATCTCATGCCGTCTCCTAATCCTAGACATAACAAGCCTATCTATAGCCAACAATAATAATGATAAATGACTAAATTATTCTTAGGCGTACAAAAGTCAAAATTGCCCTTAAGTTAGACACCAATATAACACACTCACTCGTGCCGCTTGCACTCAACCTTATTTGCATGTCAATTCTATAAGAAACACAAAATAATATCTGAAAGCAATTGAATCACATCCATCCAAACAAAAAAAAAATTACATTCTTGTTACCCTTGCACTTCTAAATTGCATCCATTAAATAGAAAGGAAAAAGCAAAAACTCCTTCCATTTTGTTCCCTTTATTAAAATTTCTATATTTGAAGTATCTTTTTAGGAAGATCGACATACATATCATCTCTTGTGTATTTAAATATCTAACGCCTAAGCTCCAATTTTTACATGTATGTCATCTTACCTATGCATGAAAAGTTTTGTTTAACTTTTTTGAAGTTAAAATGGTGATATTTTATGTGATTTAAAAGATATGGGTGTTATAATGTAAAAGTAATGTTTATGTGTTGGACATGTAAATAAGTAGGAATTGGGTGTTGTGTATGTAAATGCCCTTCTCTTTATCCTTTTAGCAGCAGAGTTGTGTCACTTAAACTTACAGCTATGGTTCAGGCTTCAGAGTTTATTTATTTATTTATTGAGAAATTCACATACCTAGCACCTAATTACACCTAAACTTATGCAAGAAAATGTGTATATGTCTATTAAAAAGTAATAATAATACTATTTTCATGTGATATTAAATATTTATGTGTTATGAGTTTAGATATGAAAGTTCAGGTGAGATTTATTAATACATTAGAATAGTGTGTTATGTATATAAATGGCCCTTATTTATTTTAGCTTCAGGGTAGAGTTAACCTTAGTAAAAGTCAAGCAAAATCTTTCCAACTGATTGTAATTCTTATTTTCTGAACCAAACCTCAGGGCTTTGAAGCTTATGTCGGAATGCTCCTACTCCGCACCGCTTTTGTCGGCGTAATTTCCGAGTGGCAGGCAACGATTTTCTGCTCCCGAAACCCCAATTATTCCTTTGTCTTTGGCTTAAAATGCAAAAATTCTCAATCTCTGATCTTCCAATTTGCTGCAGGTTGTGGTTTGTGGGGCTCTTCTTGTCCTAATGGCAGTGGGCAATTTCGCCAACACAGTTGAGACTCTCTTGGCAAAATCAAGATTCAAAGCCATGAAGAGGAGTAAGAGCAAAAGTGATCTTGATCAGTTGCCTTCACCCACATATTTGAGATAAGAAAAAAAAAAAAATTGAGAAATTTGTTTTTGGTCCTGCTAAGTTAATATTTATAAATTGAGTATTGATTATTATTATGTCCATCTTATAATTAAAATCAACCCTGTAAAATATTATTTGATTTAGCTACATGTGTCTTTTTGTAATGCTGTCATTTGTTGTTTTTTTTTTTCGTATTTTATTATTATTATTTTTGAAGTTGGGTCGTGTGTTTTTCTTTTTAATAATTTTTCGTTCCAGTTTTGTCGAAGTTTGTACAAATAAGACGACCTGCTTCAACCCAACTTGAAGGTTTTGTTTTTAGGGGCATTTACATGAATAGCGTAATTCTTATGTATTTACATATCTCATGCCGAAATTTTCATATGTATACAGCTTATTCCCTTGCGGCGGCGTTTTGAAAACGCTGCCCCAGTGTTTGAATATTGCGTTGAGCGACCGTTTCTCTGCCGCACCCTATCCTCGATCCCGAATTCCTTAAGGGCGAGCGAAGCGGAGGGGTCCCTGCGTCCCGAGCATGAGTATCGCATTAGGGTAATATTTTCCTCCTGTGCCCCTCACTCGCTCTCCCCTTCTACTCTCGCCCTCCCGTTCTTCCTTCCTCCTGCAACTTCTCTCGCGGAGATCAATATCGAGGTAACGAAAATCCTCGCTCTAGGGCCTCCTTGATCTTCCATTTGCTCCTTCTCGCCTCAAATGAGGTATCTTTGCACATTTTTTGCTTTTATCTGAAAAGAGATATATGGTATTTCAACGATAGAGAGAAATTTTTGCATTTCTCTGAGAAGAGATATATGGTATTCATTAGATTTGAACAAATTGCAAGTAGAGGGAATTTTTTTCTTGCTCTCATTCTCGCATCTCCCTTCGCATTACTGTTTCCTTCTTCCCCTCTCTGATATTCTTAGATTTTTACAAATAGAGAAATCTCTATTGGCATTTTTCTGCTACAAATTTATGGTTTCCATATAAATACCTGTATGTCTCTCGTTGGGATTATGTTATTGGAGCTTGATTAGAATTTATAGTTGAGTTTGCAATAATTTCTTGAAATTCCCTTTCGATTGTCTATTGTTCTGTAGAGGCGAAATTAGATTCTCGAATGTTTGCTGCAGTTCCTGGTTTATGGTTTTGCAGCATAATTGGATTCGTTACTCTACTGATTTTTTCGAATTGCTGGAAAGTATTGGTTTTGATTTTTTCGAATTGCAACATAATTGATTATGTTCCTAGATATTCCGAACGAAATACAGTTTTGATTGCAATGGTTGTTGAAAGATGTTTCATATGTTCAGTATTTGATTTAAAAAATTGTACAGTACTGATTACAATGGTGGCTGAAAAAATTTATGGATATTCATTTTCAGTATTGAATTAGCTTCGAAAGTGGGTGTTTCAAATTCACTCGAAAATTGATTTCAAAAATGCCTCATATAAATATCCATTACCTGCAGTTAAGGTTTTATGTATTAGCTGTACTTTTTACACTTGTTTGGTTTGCTGCTGTTCTTGGTTCTTGGTTTTGCAGCAATTTCTGGTTTAATAGCTGCATTGGATGCAGTTCCTGGTTTATGTATTTCGCAATAACACTTCGTATTGGCTTGGACACAATTTCTGGTCTACTAGCTACAATGGATTCAATTTCTGTTTTAATAGCTTCATTGGATGCATTGGTGTGATGCATTTTTCTGGTATACTAGCTAAAATGGATGCAGCTTTTGGTCTTCCTTTTTCGGGTTTGATGGCTACGAGCTGCAGAAATTTGTTTTGGCATTACAATTTGACATTAGATTATGTGCAGCAATGTCATCTATTATTGTTGGATTATGTGTAGCAATGTCATCTATTATTGGCATTAGAAGTTTGTTTTGGCATTAGAAATTTGTATTGGCATTAGAAGTTTGTATTTGCCACAGAGGTTGCTATGTTTATAGGGCTTATATGCAGCAATGTCAACTATTATTGCTGTAGCAGTTTTATAACTATGTATCCTATACAATTTCATAATGAAACATTCATGCCTTTTTTTCTGTGGATGTAGGTCATTGACCGAACCACATAATTATTTCTTATACTTATACTTCTATTTTGATTTGTTAATTGCAACACTGTGGAGATTCTTTGTGTATAATGCTTTTGTTCATTATAGTTCCACATGTCTAAAGAAGGGGGGTCGTCCGCAATGTGGGATAAATAAGTAACAAATATTTTTTGTGATCTGTGTGTTAAAGAAATAGAATTGGAAAATCGACCGACAACGTACTTGAACAAGGAAGGTTGGTTGAATATAGCTAGAAGGTTTAAAGAATTGGATGGAAGGGATTATGATATACTAACATTTAAAAATAAATATGATCAATTGAAAAAGGAATGTAAGATTTGAAAAAAGCTAAAATGTGGATAAATCTGGTTAGGTTGGGATCCAATTAAACAGACAATTGTTGCATCAGAAGAATAGTGGACTGAGAAATTAGAGGTATGGCTTACATTTTCAACTTGTGTATATCAAAAAAAATTTTAATTACATGAGTGTCCTCAATTTCTGCTATAGGCATTGCCGACAGCAAAACAATACAAGCAGAGCGGAATTGAGCACGATTTTGAAGAGAAACTTGACATAATGTTCAAGGGGGTAGTGGCAACGGGAAAGCAGACATTCACCCCTAGTCAGATGGGTTTGCAAGAATACCCGATGATTTTACACCAGAGCCGGTGGCAGTTGAAGAAGAAATACACAGTGTTAACCCGAGGGAGATGGGGGAGTCAAACTCACAGATGAAAAGGCCCAAGCTAGGAAGAAAAAAGAAACTTTTGTGAGAAGCTCATTTGACAAACTCATTGATGCTTTTGGAGCACCACCGCCTGCTCCACCACCTGACAACATTATCTTCGATTGTCTTCGCACTTTGAAAACCATCCCTGAAGTTGTAGCGGATAAGCACTTTCATGCAATATGTATGAAAAAACTTGAGGATCCAACACGTAGGCACATATTTATGGCGATGGAACCAGAGTTGCGAGTCGAATATTTACGTGTTATTGTTAATGATTGAGTTTTTATTGGTTTTCAAGCAATGTATTATGTACTATTCAAAGTCATGAGCTCATATGTTATTTGGATTTATGTTTCTTTTTTAAAATGTACTTTTATTTGAATCCTGAATGCATAGTAGTGGAGCTCAATATTTTTCCTTATTATTACTAGCTGAGTTTTCTCGTTATTTATTTCTCGCTCGCTGTATTGATTAATAAATGATGAAATAACTGAGATATTTCTTCCTTTAGGATGGATCCACAACATGAGCGTCGTAAGAGAATGACATGGGTTGCAGCTATTGCCATATTGTTGTTGGAGTATTATCGATCAAGTCGTGTTCATATACCCTGAATGACCTCCAACTTCATTGGGGATAAATGGGTTGGTGAAATGCTTTCTAGACATCCTATTAGGTTCAGTAACATATTCTGAATGACAATACCGATCTTTATGGATCTCTTGCACGAGTTATCCATCAATTACGGACTCTAAGGTTCTTCGAGAACGACGAGAAGGGAGGTATTGGCTGTAACACTATATATTCTGTCATAGAATGAATCAATTAGGGGTGCTATGGAGAGATTTCAGTATTCATCGGAGAGAAGAAGCTGTTATTTTTCCAAAGGCATACATGCACTTGTTAGCTTAGCCGCTAAAATCATCATGCCAGAGGATACATCATTTGCTAATACTCCAGAACAATTCGCAGTCAATCCCCATAACACTATATATTCTGTCATAGAATGAATCAATTAAGGGTGCTATGGAGAGATTTCAGTATTCATTGGAGACAAGAAGTTGTTATTTTTCCAAAGGCATACATGCACTTGTTAGCTTAGCCGCTAAAATCATCATGCCAGAGGATACATCATTTGCTAATACTCCAGAACAATTCGCAGTCAATCCCCATTACATGCCTTACTTTAAGGTAATGTTACTTTTATTTAATTTTCATAACGGCATATAAATATTTCCTAACTTTGTCAAACAGAACTGCATAGGTACAATTGACGGTACTCACGTTGCCCGAATACCCAGTCAGGACAGTATGGCTTACATTGGTCGAAGTGGATTGACTACTCAAAATGTCATGACGGTATGTGACTTCAACATGTGTTTCACATTTGTTATGGCGAGCTGGGAAGGGAGTGCACATGATAGTCGAGTTCTCATCTATGCTACGAGGAATAGATCGCAAGGTTTTCCTCATCCGCCTTCAGGTATGTTTTCATTTATAAAATTACAAGTTATAGGTATTTACTGCAAATAACAATATCTTCCATAACATGAAAATACTATTTGGTTAATGTTGGATACCCTATGTAGAGGGTTTATCTGAAGCCATATCCAGACACTAGGTAACATATTCCTGATTTTGAGCGAGCAAGTGACAGTATTCGTGGTAAGAAAGAAATGTTTAACAAACGCCACTCCTTTTTACGTGGGGTAATTGAAAGAACATTTGGTGCGTGGAAGAAGAAAATGGTCATCCTATGTGATATGTCGTCATATCCATTTCAGAAGCAGATGCATATTGTGGTGACAACAATGACACTTCATAACTTCATACGGCGACACCCTTCACGTTTAGATACGGACTTTAGTATGACTGATAACGAAGAGCTGACAGTCTGTGAAGAACCATCAGAAAGCATGATTGGGCCTTTAGTTCCTGAGGATGAGAATGAATTTAATGAATTTGTAGTTCATGATGCGGAGGGTGTGGCTGAAATGACTGCTTTGAGGGAGTTTATAGCAGAAGATATACATGACAGCTAATCCAACAAGTTTTTCTTTTCTTCGTATATATGTAGATTAATTTTTATGTGTATTTTTTTATTTTTTTGGAATTAAGTACTGACCTTTTTTTTTTGGTTTTTTTCACAGTTAAACAAACATGACTTCAAGGATATCAGGTACAGACAACAATATTTTGTGTTATTGTGGTCTACCGTCTCCGTTGCTCACGATGCGTCAGTCTCATAGCTATGGGAGACGGTTTTACAGTTGTGCCAAGGGTGTTTCTGCTCGTTGTGGCTTCTTCCGATAGGCTGACAGTCTCTCATATTACATTGCCAGCAGTCATGAGAATCCGGTGTTTTCTTAGGT